GAAATAGAGACTACTACCATTAAATTCTTCAGGTAGGCTTTGGTAATGAAAATTTTTTTCCTAAAACTCTAAGGCGTCTCTATTCCAAGATAAAAGCCTGGGACGGGTGCTCTGATTCACCCTGTATAATACCGTACACAAACAAAGTGATAAGTCTAAAGTTAAAAATATTTACATTATAAGATCAAGATGAAAATAGAAAAAGGAAGTAATTTTAACGCTCCCTTACATAAAGATTTCTTAATGAAGACACATAAAAAATTGTTCTTTATTTCTTTAGTTGAAAAGGGTGACAAAGGAAATGAATTAAATTTATTTTAGACAAAACGAGTATGTATAAATGACAATAGAACAATGCATTTCATAGATGGCACTAAATTTGGATAAGTAATTAAGATAATATTATAATTAAAGGTAAATTTGAAAAGACCCCGATAACAAAAATTGCACAGAGTGGTATTTTAAAATTTATCTGAGCACGGGTTTTGATTTTGTGTAGGTATACTTTTTTTTTAATATTAAAAAATTTTATTTCTGGTGGTAGTGTTGTGGTGGTGTTCAGAAAAGGTAAGTTTCCAGTTTTCTTAGAACTAGTTTTACGTTTCTTTGACCACATATGGCTATATGTTGATTATTGGTGACTGAGTAAAATTACACTAACTGCTTATTTTTTTGGGTTATCTTTGCTACAACTATGGTAGTGAATGACTTTTAAAGTTTCTTTTTGATTTTCTTACTGTTATTTATTTTATAGTTTGAAGAGATACATGGAAAAATTCTGGCATTTTTTAAGAGATTGTTAATAATCAAAACAGTAAGGGTTTTGAAAATCTTGAAACGTTTTAGGAACAGGTCGATATTGATGATTTTTTCTGTTAAATGTTTGTAATTTTTAAGTACCTATATACTTCCTTTTTAATTTTTGTATGGCATACCATAGTACTAAAGCAAAACCCTTAGCATTGGTAATTGCGCAACAAGGAAGATAGGACATCATTGGAAAGGCTTTCCTTCTCTGAATTTGGTGAGACTATAATTTTTAGATTTGATATTTTCGAAATATTTTAAAAGTAAGTTGAGGGCGCGCTGTTGTTTATGTCATTGGAAGGATGTCGGGCCGATCACTATGTAATAGAAGCTAATGCGATCGTGCGTCAAAATTATGCAGTTGCAAGTGGTATAGAAAAGAGAAAACTTGTACCTGCAACGTCGAATGCGCTGGAAATGAAACAACTAAACCAAAAAAATTACATATCCGAATTCAGAGATGGGCAACCTTACCAACGATGCATCAACTAAGATTTTAAGGGTTGCACTGTCAGCGATGCGAGACAAAGACATTAGTGAGCAAGTTTTATTTTACTGTTTCCTTCCATGATCAATTTGACGTTCCAAAGCGTTTTTTGAAAATTATTTTAATTTACAGAAATAGCTATGTATGGTTTCTAATGCACCACCGTATATTATTTAGCTTCGGAGAAATAACACCAAAATCTCCCCATAAAAATTGTTATATTAATAAATGGGTAGATTTTGGTGTTATTTCTCCGAAGCTTCTTAAGCACCCCATTGAAAGTCATGAATCTTCACAATTTCAGTATATTATTTAAATAATAGCCATATAATTTATAGCAAGATCAATTTTTTTTCACGATATTTATCAACATTTTTTGCTTTTTTCGTTACTTTACAGTTCATATCTCTTTAATTTTACGGAAACTCTCAAGAATCTATTTGTTTTACGTTCAACTATGATTATAATTTACTTGAGACTCTTTTAAGACAATACATACGTATTTCGTTATGTGTCCTTTAAATGGACGACATCGAAGGTTAGAGAACTAGGAAACTTAACTTGCAGCTATTAACAAATAATAATTGTTAAAATTTTATTTAGACTTTTATATTCCTATTGCAATATTATTTGTACGTGCTTAAAAGGTTTCCAAATGAAAAAAACCTTGATTGTGAATTGGTACAATAAAACTGGGTAAATAGGTTTAAGAAATGTCAGGTGACAGTTTTGCTGATAGACCGATAGCAGCGTTTACCAGCATCCCTCTACTTGTGAACATGAGTGCATGGACAATTTACATCACGGATGAGTGTCTTTTTATCTTTTTTTTTGTTTTTTTTTAAAATAAATTTTCATTCATGGCACCTTTAGCAAGTGTTCTCATGTTTAATACGGAGATTACAATAAAATAAGTACTAAATTCCAGATTTTGAGTGATATGGATACTATTAAAGTGACCTAAAACCTCTACTGCTTTGATATGGTCCGTTCCATTTAAAAAGGTACATAGGATTGTACGTATGAATTCTTGCCTCATAAATACTATTAAAAAAAATTATTCCTCTACAAATTGTATGGCTATTGTTTAACCAACATAAATATTTAAGTGCCACATTAAAATGCCAAAATCAAGGAAAATATCATCAAAAATGGACTTGTCCCTGAGGTTAAAAGTTGAAATTTGATTTGTTACAAAAAGTTGATAATGGATATGAGATTTAGGCGGTGCAAACTATACGGGCGCGTAACAATGGAGTTCGGTACAACGAAAAGGGGAAAGAGATACATAATCTAAAAAGGATACATGTACCTCTTTGCTAAGAACCTTAAACTCCAAAACTGCTCATCATGGCTGTGTCGAGCGTGAAGAGCAAAGAAGGATCCATCGGCTCTTAGTTTAACATGCAATGCCAGGATCTGGGTTAACGATGACAAGGTAAGATTACCTAAACCAAGCTCTGATTTTGGAAGTGCAGATGGTTTCCAGTTTCAAAGCCCTTAATTGGGTATTTTATTAGTTAGGATATCGTCTTTTGACCTTTTGACTTTTTTATACGTAAGTCTAATGTTAGTTTTTAGGTTCGGCTCTCCCTTGCAAAAAATTTAGTTTATCAACCTCCTTAAATTTCAATTTTACTCTGGAACCAACCACGGATATGGTCGTTGGCCTTTCCAGTTTTACTGCCCTTTTGGGTTTTTAATTGTTTTCCATCTATTGTAAGTTTTATAGCTATAGTCTCTTCTCAATGATCTCTACCATCTTGTAGATCACCTGAAGATGACCGTTGGTCGAAACATGTAGTGTATCACTTCGTTTTATTAAATTATATGGGAACGGTTTAGAGAACTTTTATTCAATATTAATAAATTATCCCATTTAGAGTTTGAACACAAAATGGACGTCACGATTCCAAATTATACCTTAATATTGAAAGTATCCAAATTTTAAATGTAGATATACGTCTATTACATGCACAAAGTAATAAAACGTGATATTGGTGAGTAATATTGGAGATTTCAAGCTCTGAGTTAATTTAATACTTCACAGCCGACTTTCTATGTTAAAAGTCAACCGTACACAAAATACCCTCTCAGGGGAGCGAAATTCTGGTGCGAATTATTCCGGTGCGAATTATCCGGGTGCGAATTGTCCGGTAGCGAAACGTCCGGGTGCGAAATATCTTTGCCGCGAATTTTCCTTGGGGCGAAATGTCCGGGTGCGAATTGTCCGGGTGCGAAATGTCCGAGAGCGAATTGTCCTACAACCATCGATTGGTTACTTTCTCTAAAAAACATAAAATGTCAAGTCATACAATACCAGTTTCATATTCATATTCCTTAGAATAAGTAGGCAAGTAGTTCTACAATGGTTCAATTAAGAACCAACGCGGGACCAAACCCCGGAAGAATATAAACTATACATTCAACATCCGCGGATGCTTGAAAATCAATATTCCTTAGTATATGCCAAATTCTTCTGCATTTTGTGGCAGTAGGATTGAATTGATGGTGCAGAAGATTTTGTTTGTTAAATTCCCGAACGTCAAAAGAATAGTTACGCGTTTAGGAATTTTGTCTGAATAAATTCCAGTGTACATTATGGTATTAGGTATACCTCTATTGTGTTTAAAACCAGCTTGCTTGCTCATGTAGCATTGTTGCTTTTATTTGAAATTTACAAGCTGAAGCTTCGTAAAACATCCGAATACCTTTCACATTTTTTTATAGAAAAGTAATAACCTTGAATAGCCTCATAATAACAAAGATAAAGCTCACAGACTATGGGTGGAAGATAATGAAATATCAGATATAAAAGTTAATTTTGGATTGGTTGTAAATTTTGAAGTTATGGCACTATAACTACGATGACATTTTTAATTATGTGCCTTTTCAACTATATAAAATTAATAATAAACAGCATAAAATAGAATTCTTTATTCTTTATTATAAGTAAATGTTGTCCGTTTAAAAACAAAAGAATATTTGGTTGGCATGTCAGTACGTTCAGCAACACAATTAATTAGAAAGGAAGCACATTTCAAAATAAATTAGGAGATTACACGCAATAACCGCGCGTTGTGAGTTAGCTCGAGACTAATTCCGCTATGAAAATAAAAGAGCTTTAGGGTCGGCTAATAAAATTAAAAATAGGCGAGCATGTACGCACTGTTATTATGTAAATAACAATAAAAGCAAGCCGGCAATAAAATAAAATAGGTATACGATGCTCAATAAAAGAAGAAAATCCTTGCAAAATGTGTAGATACCTACATGAGAAGGAAAAATCGAAGGGAAAATGTATAAAGCAATAAAACTTTAATAAAACATGTACAGCTTGTAGAAATGTATAAGCTGGAATTGATATTGATTATTGATTTTAGTTTTTTTTATTATTAAATATTGTCTCAAAGCACTACGGTATATAGCATACTTGAAATTTCTGCTTAATTTATTCGGAAAACTTCCCGCATTAATATTGCGCGCGGAAACGCGGTACATCTCCAAACCGCCGAATTTATTTGCTTTGATATGCAAAACTGCATCTAAATGTAAACAAGTAAGGTTTCTTTAACGGTATCGTAAAGCATAATTTCATATAATTTTCAGCAAAGCTGTTGCTGATTTAATCACAGCGTCCGTTAATTAAAAGTTATCTTGTTAAGTTAATTGTACGCAAATGACAATGGCAACTTTTAATTGGGGCTTAAACTAATTTTTCCTGTACAACAATCAACTCACCGGTCAGAAATGACAGCCTTCTCATAGCGGGAAAGGGATGGTTTCCTGAAGTGTCCAGTATGTCTAGTTGAAATATCTCCCCGCGTATTCTATACAATTTTCTGTGAAAGTCCTCGATTGTAGGGGTGTAGTTATCTTGAAACTTCCCACCCAGAAATCTTTGGACAAGGCAAGTCTTGCCCACCTTAGCCGATCCTACAAGTAAGGGATGTTAACCGAACCAAAGCGAGCGTCTTTTAGTATACCTAGCATGACTAATCTGAAACAATTTTTCGACGGCGGCAAAACATCATCACAAGAACTTGAACTTCCAGGACTCGGACCTGGCCCCGTTGTTAGAACCGGAGGCGAAAAGTCTGTTGGTGGACTTGCGACTTCTTTGGAATTGTTTTTCATACACAGCCAATTTGTACAAGAGCTTAAATTCATTGCCGCGCTTTTTCATCGGTATATTCTTCATCATCAAATTTACGCAGCTTGTTCATTAGTTAAGTGGTAAAATATAAAAGTTATACCTACCATTTAAACTAATACACGAAAACTATCCCCGATTAAAAAATTAATAAAAGTTAATTGGAAAAGGCCTCGTTCATTGTTTATTTATTTCCCTACTGTAAAACGAACAACTACTGTCCCTAACAACTATTTTATATATCGCGATTTCACCTACATTTATCCAATGATTTACCCAACCAACGTACAATTCCGACGCCAAGCGTCAACTCAAATGCTTCTCGCGAATGCATCGTTCGCAGGCGCTGTATTTACCTACAGTGTTACCAAATGTAAGGAGGTCAATACACATGATGCGTACTTATACGTTCAACAACTGGGCTTGTTGCATATCGAGGATTAGATAAATAGTTTTTTTAATAGAATTGAAAAAATTTGGAAAACGCTGTGGAAATTTAGATCGGAACTGATTAGCCGCTTGGTGGAAAATTAATTATACCACGAGACAAAAGCCTGACTTATTATTGGCGTTGTGTCGAAGTGATAAGGGGCAAAGCCCTACAAGTTTGGTGGTCGAAATGTAGGTAGTAATGCATTTTTTATTTGGGGTGTTTTAGATATAACCGCATCGGACACGCAAACGCAACATGTCGTTGGGTCTATTAAATTAGCTTTGCGCTAATAAATTGGGCTTGTCCGTTGAGTTGTTTGAGTGTGTCAGTTTTTGTGCGTGCGCTATAATTATAGATTCAATTTGTCTATGTACCTACCCCCCAAATAGTTACGGATTTAATTGTAGAATTTTTTTTTTCATCTGTACGTAAAGAACAACCCACAACTTAAAAATGCTTAAAAGGAAATTCATTTCACAGAACTTTTTGCTCTACTGTGTTGCGAATTTAGTCACGTGTTTACGAGCTTGAGCTACAGTTTTACATCCACAAGTGTATAGTGTATTTTCCAGCGCAAATACAAACGAGTGCAATCAACCACTATTAGATGCTTGGGTCCAAAGCAAAAACTTCCTGAAACAAAATAACGATAACAAAAGAATCGCATACGATTTTCAGTAGGGGAATTTTTTGCCACTCAGGTCGCATTCGGAAACCAGACTTTTAATCCGGCTCATATTTAATAGCACACTGATCTTGAACTCGTAGAAGTCGATTGGCGAAAGTTTAACATCGCTATCTCTTTTCGTTCTCGAGTTAGACGAGGAACAAGCGGACGGACAAGACAGACGGACAAATCGCATACAGGAAATTTTTTTTCATTCGAAAAATTCCCCTAAAAATCCATTTTTCGTGCACTCATTAACGACTTACCACGGTTTTCGGATGCGCCCTTCCTCGTTCTGTCAAAAAACTCATGATCCCAGGAATCAAATTCTTGACGGAACAGCTTGCATTGCTATTTGAAAACAAAAAATTCGATGCCGTTGCGGCGCTCCAAATTTTTTTCAAAAATCCGGCCCGTTATTTCCGTGTCTTTATGCCTAATATAATATATTGCTATGTCCAATGGCGACCGGAGTAATTCGCAGGGGAGTACTTGTGGGAAAATTAAAAATTGTTATTTAAAGCAAAAAACATAAGTAACTCAAAAATATTGTTTAAATACCTATTTTTCCTTAGCTCAATGAGTGCCTCAACTTTGCTACCGCAAGATAAGCAATTTCAGCATCAGCACCCCTTGCCTAATTTTATTTGTACATGGTCCAATATTGACTTCCCCAATCGTCTTTGAAATGTTAAAAAAAATTTCTAATTTTTTAAATTTTGGGTTATTTGCGTTATGCCCCTAATAAAGGCACTTCGTTCCAAATTGCTTGTTTTCGACGTTTTTGAGAAATCTTTTGAACACACTTTGGTGCTGTATCTTAAAAACAAAGCAGGCTATGGAAAATTCAAATCTCAAATTTCTATAATTTTCTCTCATTAAATTTTGTGTTCATCTATTTACTTGTCTTTGCACTTCTCGTGTCTTTGTCGGTCTCCTGTTTTCTAAAGATGAAGCCTTTCTTTTCTCTTCTGGAACTTAATTTAAATTTTCTCCTCGGGGTATGATATTGATTTCTCTGCCTTTTTTGTTTTAACAATAAGTGTACGTGAGACTATATTTTGTCTATGTGACTCTTCCTTACTATAATGATTGTTATATTATAACATTTTAACCAAAGTTCATCAAATGTGTTGTAAAATTGTCTGCGTTTTGTTAACATTATTTTATTTTGACTTGGGGGGTTGATAATATGGTTTTAACCAATTTCTATGAATTCCTAATTCTTCTGTTTTATTTACTAGTTTGGCTCCAATTTACATCGCTTAAAACTTCCATAACTCTATAATATGGTCCTGTTCAAAGTAATTTCACATTCGTATTAGTTTCCGTATAACACTATACTCAAGGTTCCGGATAAAATGATCTTCGGAACCTTGGTTGCACTTACCAAGGTTTAGCGCTACTCAATTTCTAGCTTACCTCTCCCCGTATGAAATTGACGAGTGCAAGCCAATTTAACTACCTAAATATATACTGGTTTATTTACGTAGTTCAAATCAAACTACACAAAAATATTCAAATAAGTATCAAACTTCTTAATCAAAAGTTACGGACTAGAAACCAATTTCGAAAGAAAATTCAACTTTTGAAGTATTAGCCCAACCTTGGAACTGTTTGAAATTATGGATTCTACAGGCCACATTCTAAAAGAAAATTTTTTTTCCGGGTCGATTTGAGACAATTTTTCTTCGGGCCTCAAAAAAAGGCAGTGTATAACCTTCCTTTTTTGCGACTACACAAAAATTTCTCGGGAAAACACTTTTTCTTATTAATTTTGGTGCGTAGAATCCAAAACAATTCGTACTTTTTCGATCAGACTTCTCAATCAAAAGTTATAGACTAGAAAACCAATTTCGAAAAAAAATTCAAAGGGCTGTAACTTTTGAACTAGTAGCCCAATCTTGGAACTGTTTGAAATTATGGATTCTACAGGCCACATTCTATAAGAAAAATTCTTTTCCGGGTCGATCGGATACAATTTTTTCTTCGGGCCTCAAAAAAAGGCAGTGTACAACCTTCCTTTTTTACCAAAAATCGACTGCACCAAAATTTCTCGGGAAAACACTTTTTCTTATTAATTTTGGTGCGTAGGATCCAAAACAATTCGTACTTTTTCGATCGGACTTCTCAATCAAAAGTTATGGACTAGAAACCAATTTCGAAAGAAAATTCAAAGGGCTGTAACTTTTGAACTAGTAGCCCAATCTTGGAACTGATTGAAATTATGGATTCTACAGGCCACATTCTATAAGAAAATTTTTTTTCCGGGTCGATCTGAGACAATTTTTTTTCGGGACTCAAAAAAAGGCAGAGTATAACCTTCCTTTTTTACCAAAAATCGACTGCACCAAAATTTCTCGGGAAAACACTTTTTCTTATTAATTTTGGTGCGTAGAATCCAAAACAATCCGTACTTTTTCGATCAGACCTCTCAATCAAAAGTTACAGACTAGAAACCAATTTCGAAAGAAAATTCAAAGGGCTGTAACTTTTGAACTAGTAGCCCAATCTTGGAACTGTTTAAAATTATGGATTCTACAGGCCACATTCTAAAAGAAAATTTTTTTTCCGGGTCGATCTGGGACAATTTTTTTTTCGGACCTCAAAAAAAGGCAGTGTATAACCTTCCTTTTTTACCAAAAAACGACTACACCAAAATTTCTCGGGAAAACACTTTTTCTTATTAATTTTGGTGCGTATTTGAGTGACAAGTACTTGAATACTTTTTACTGTATTCGAATACTTTTCAAAGTATTCAAATACTTTTTATAGCATTGGAATACCTTTGATAGTATTAGAATACTTGCATAAGTATTCGAATACATTCTAAAGTATTTGAATAATTATTTTTTAAAGTATTTGAATACTTTTCAATGTATCTGTATCTAGTATTCGCTTGTGCTGGACGTAAAAGTATTTAGTATTCAAATACCTTTGATTTGTGTAAAGTATTTACTATTTAGTATTCAAATACTTTTTGAAAGTATTCTGCCCAGCTCTGAATGCAAATAACTGAATAATGCCTGAAAGGCCTCTCCTTACTCGTAGTAAGCTTCTATAAGATACGGTTACTTAGCCAACGCTTCGGGAGGAATTGGCAGTCTACAATAACATGAGAAAACTCGATCATAAGTTTACAGAGGTCGCAAGATAATAAATACAAATACCGAAGGTAACAAGTTAATTAAAAGTGAGAGGGGAAAAAATAGTTGTTCTTGTTGTTATCAAATCTGGTGCATTATCCAGTTTCAGCAAATGGCAGCTACCTTATTAAAATAAATGGAAAGGCTTCAACATTCCTTCCTTCAACACAGCATCGAACAATTTTTTGTTCTTACCTGCTGCAAATAAATAAATAAAATAACGAGGCCTAGAACGGCAGATTTCTGAACAATTTTCAAAATGCTCTAAGTCCTTCAAGAAATGAACAATTAGTTTCACTCACCGATTTTATGGTATTAAGCGAATGACCGATTGGAAAACATTATCATTGATCGCCTTTCCCTTGGATGTACTTATAAGTGAATATAATTTACACTTACCTTTACGCCATTACCCAGTTCAAACATCGTTTACATGCCATGGGTTTCTTTGTCTAATTCATGAGGTCACACTAATAATTGATGAGACCATTCATCATACCTGCTTCAAAATTATACAGAGAAAAATTAGAATTATTGACATGAAAGGGCGGCTGGAAATTTTGTATATATCCACTAACGCCCCTTACTGTTTTACCCTTTAATTTGTATAAAAAATGAGGGAATTTGGGATACGATAAAATAGTCACTAATTTACGTCTTGCATTATCCGATTGCTTTATTATTCCGTACGAAATCCGTTAGTGACCGCGTATTTCCAAATGGTAAACTGATTCTCCCTTCAAACTTTCAAAATAGTGAGGCAGAGTAATTTTGGTTCATCATTAAGACTTCCCAGCTACATTATTCTCTCATGAAATTTTGAATACTTGAGAACTACCAAACAAAACAGGTAAAAAATATAAAATTCAACAGCGCAGCATTAATTATTCGACTACAAAAAGCCTTCTGATTGGACTTATAAATAAGGGATGAAAAGTTCTTCTCAACTTTCTACGTCGCTGTATATTTTATACTAACCTCATTATGTTGGGTAAACATTAATAGTACTGTAAATTCAGTTTAGTTTAGTTAGGTGGGTGGGCTTTCGCGTAAA